TCAAATGATTGGTTTAAAATTGGCAAGTTTATTTCTATTGGCTGCTACACTTTATACAAACTTCTAGTAATGTCGGAAAAATGATCATATTTAACCATATAGCCGGAAGACAAAAAAAAGTGATTGTTGCTTATGGTATGTAGGACACGGGTAACATTACAGCCCATTGGCCAAAAATGTTGTGCGAAGAACCTGGATTGACCTGTGTTAAACGAAAAAGCATTCTAAATAAACTGCTTTATCCATGAGGCGATGCGACCATAGAATCCAAAGCCCCGGCTTTACCTGCACTTTTTGAGCGGAGAGTAAGCAAATGCTCTTTTCCAGGCAGTTCAGTCCCCACTACCCAGCTGTTAGGCCTGTCCTTGATCAGAGGACGGTGTCTACTTAGCTACGTCCTCTTAGCCCTAGAACACCCACTAATACCAATATATGTATGGCTTCGAGCACGCAATCTACAGACTGAAAGTAGCAGTGGGTTTCCACCAGGATCTATGCCTAGTTCTGACACTCCAGACGGCTGCTGATACCTTGGCGGGCTGCTGATACCGCAAGCGCCAGAATCCTACGGGGCTGCTGATACCCGTTTCCAGTCACACCCAGTGTACACCTCCTTCACTTACTGTTTATAAAAGAGTCTTTGTTGGCTTCTTTATCTGCTGCAGCTACACCAGACCGGCGTAACCTTCTGCTCGTGCTTCCTCGCATCTACACGACTAATCTTCACCTGAGACTATTCCTAGTTCCTATATATGCACTGCTACTGGCCTTCTCCGTCGCCTCTGAACCGCACGCTGGTCACCCATAGACACTTCCAGCGACCTTTCGTGCCCGCGATCTTCCTTCAAGGGTCACAAGTCTGGATATGGGTCGCATACCCGGGCCCACCTCCAAACCACGGGTATGGTCGTCACTTGGTCTTCGTCATCTGCACTTGGTCTCTATGTCTCCTTCTGTTGGTCTCCGATGTTGTCCTCCTGCAGGTCTTCACTGCTGTCCTCCTGCTGCGGGCCTTCGCTGCTGTCCTCTGCTGTTGGTCTTCACTGTCGTCCTCTGGCTGATAGTCTTCACCGTTGAGCATCCGCCGTTGCCAAGAACCCCAAGCAAAAATCGTTTTGCTTACCGTAGTAATATCAATATTATTCAAAAATGTAAAATACTTATCAAATACCTCGGCCAATACAAAAGTGAGTCATAAATGTGCTCATTTATGTATTGCAAGAATTGCTCAAAATCCATATTATTGACTAGCTCAGCTATCTTAGCTGTTCCGAAGAGCAAAGATCGCATCTTTTCCAGCGGTGGAGGACATAATTTATGTAATTGCTAGCGAGGTTGAAAAAAATTATATCTTTGAGCGAGTCCAGCTATACGAAACTGTACTATCAATCAGATTGAAAAAGTAAATATGTTTGTTTTTGTTTCGCTTCCCGAATATGCGGAACAGCCTTTTCCAGTGTCTAGCGTGTGTAAATTTTGGACAAAGCATAAAAAATACAGTAAGAAAAAGTAAACGGTATTTTCACCGTAACTCGCAGTTGATCTAGTTAGTTACAGAAGTGCTCGCCGACCTTGTTCCTTACATTAAAACTCGAGCGGTCCGAGCGTTTGGGCAATCTTCTTGTTTCCCCTGGAAATTTTTGCGCAGCTAGCTTTTTGATCCGGAAGCAACCCTTTGAGGGTTGCCAAGTATGAGGCTTGTGTACAAACAGCCTCAACAAGACGTTTCTGCTCTTGTTCGGCTCGAAACCGCTCTTCACGCTCGTGTTTTGCAAAATCTCTCAAAGCGAAGTCTAACTGAATAACGTTGGCGTCAGATGCATCACCCTCGGTCTGGTGAGCATGTTTCATTCGTTTCACTCGCAATAGTCGGGCTGTCAGAGTTTTCTCCGTTTGACGCAACGTTTCTCGTTCTTGTTTGAGCCGTCGTTGATATCTTTGCTTTCGGATGATCTCCTTCTCCCTCCGATTTTTATGTTTTAAAGCCGCTGCATCGTCCGTCGCGTTGCTTGTGCTGCTCTCGCTCTCGTCACTATCTGCTGAAGCCCAAGATCCAGGAATCGAACCACCATCTGCTCGCGGCGTCCGGGTCAAAACCACATCAGTTGTGGTCAGGAAAGCGGACACTTCCTCCAGCAGTTCTGTGTCCGAGATCATCTCAATTGAGGCCATATTTCGGATGAACAGACTTTTGCAAAATGGACAATGGAATCACTCACTCATTCGTGCTCGTGCCAATTTCGTGGTTTGTCAAAAGTGACGGTTTTACACGTGATGACGGAACGCCCCGTACCACAATCAACAGCTGCTTAGTTTCCACCAGTTTTCCAAGCCAGTGACTATCCAACTTGCCCCTGTATCAGCTCGAAGTACTGCATTACAAGTAAAGAACAGACACTGCACAGCAAGTGATTTTAACCAAGAAGTGATTTGAAAAACAGAGACTATGGAAATGCAAGTGGGTGCGAGCTGTTGTCGAAGCCGTAGAGAGCCCACACGAGGTGGACCGCGCTGTACTTGCGAAGGCGGGCCCAGCGCCGAGCTCCTTAGCGAGTCGAACAGTGCACTCCCCAGGTGAGGGAAAAGTTGTAGTAAGCGATTGCCTTTGCGAACTCCATCAGAAGAGAGAGGGGTCCGTTCGTGAAAAGCACAGGAGGAATACAAATCCAATGGTTTTACTAGCGAAAGATTATGGTGCGGTACAAACAAGCTCTGTCGTATACATTTAAAACTCGCTCAAGTAAATCAGCGGTTTTACGTTGTTTGAGTGAAAAAAAAAACGCTGGATATAACCACCATTGAAAAAAAAAATGCCAAAAGGACCCTCTCATAATGCCATTCATACACACAATGACTCAATATGGTGGGCACGTGACGCTCGGTATAAGGTTGACGTAGTCAGTAAAACTTCGTCGAGATTGTGGTTTGTAGGTGGCACTGCCTGCGTGTCGCATTGTGTCTGGTCTCGTAGTTCCTGTGGGGGAGAGAGCGAGACAGCGACGCAGTTAGAATTCAATCATACAGTACTCAGGAATCTCCTTTTTGTGTCACCGCCGATGAAGTGATCCCTTGGGCGACAGCGTAAATAGCCGGTGCCAAGTCGTCAAGGAACTGCAAAGGTACATGCATTCCGAGCCGTTTGTTCATAAGTCAAGTGTTATCCCGTAGCGTGACTAAACTCTGGCGACAGATTGTTGTCCTGCCTCTGCTTTACCGGTATTGTACTAGTCCAGTTACGCCATCATTACATCTTTCATCTTGGTTCATGTAATCCAAAGATGTCGGCGTGGGGCCCATTCATGTTATTTGTTCGGCAAGCTCACACCATCGCCAGCTAAATCTGTCAGGCACAACACTAAGTTTCATCTGCTCAAAATGTAGTAGACAAGAAGGGACGTGCATTTATTTCATGTCAGAGTTGGCCAACTGAAGTCAGTCGGTATTGATGAATCGCCGGGTAGAGCTCGCTGCAGTGTGTTAATATACGAGGCTTGTATACCGACAGCAGTTATCAGCTTCTTCTGTTCCATTTCAGCCAATTGTCGTTGTTGGTGTTCATAATTGGCAAGCTTTCTCCATGGTAGGTTTTGGACATCACCATTGTTACCTTTGTCGCTCCGTCGTCTCCATTTGAGCTTTTCCAATTGCGTGGACAACTCGCTCACCATCAGCCTAAGAGATTCCCGTTCGCTCTTGAGACGCTCCTGGTATCTCTGCTTGCGAAGAACTTCTTTCTCTCGCTGTAGTTTGCGCTTGATCGCTCGAGAGGTATCCGTTTTGCGCTTCTTGGGACTTGAGATCGACTCAATTCCGCTGCTGACGGATACCCAGTTGAGGTAAATTGCTGCGCTAGCACACGTTCTGTCCTCTTGAACAGGCTCCAATGGCACGTGGATGCCGCTTTTATCCAGGAACGCTGATACCTCTTCGAGAAACGCTGCATCTGTGGCCATGGTGCCGACTGCTTGCTTGGGGTGCTGGGTATTTTGAGAAATGACAACGTCGGCGACAGCAACACACAGCTCCACCTGCCACTCCAATAATCAATCACGGCACTTCAGGAAGAAGCGAGACAGCAATTGTAGCAACATATGATTCGCCGAATGGATTGGAGACCTTATGCGTCACCATCTCTGCAGAGTCATTTGGCCTATGCGTCATTGTTACGTGACGTGGCTGCTTACATGTATAAGCCTTAATTAAGAGCACTGCCTGTGTCTGTGTGGTACCGTCTCCACAACGGCTGCCTTCCTGTTTTCCAGTCTCGTGATCACCACTGGATGAACGAGATTCCAGCCATTATATCATCGAGACACAATGTATAATATTTGAAACGTAATAATACTGTATTAATCTTCTTGCTCTAAGTAAAGCTACCCAGTGTATCTACATCATATTTGCTGCGGCAAGTAACGATCCGCCAAATAATGCCCAAAGTGATGACCCCTTATGAAGTTCAACGCTGTTCGACTCCGTGCCTGTCATGATTGTTCCGCTGCCGGTGTCAGAACTTCCGCTGCTACTCGAGTTGGTGGTAGCGCGAGTGTCGTCGAAAGCAAGCAGGTCGCTGTTTGAATTCTCTCCTTCACAAACAACCGCCGGATCTGGACACGTGATATCCCCGGAGAAGCCCGGTACGGATAGTTTTTCGCCCTTTATGGTGCAGTTGAAGTTCACAGAATCTTGCGCAGCGCTACGTGGGATCGTAAGCTGGACCGTGACACTCGAGTTCACATTGACGAAGCATCGCATGGCATAACAACCACTCTGTCTAGGTGGATTTATCGTCCAGAGTGTAGAATCCTCACTACGGAGAGACGTCTGTGTGCACTTACAAGTGGGGCAATACGTTTCACCAAACGCGTTGATGTTGGATTTACCAAGTTGCAGAAGATTGGTCGAGATGGTGCAATCGCCCGCTGTGTAGCCCAGAACTAACGGACAGAAGTCGGCGAAAGAATTCGCTCCTCCTTTCGTTGGTTGATCTGGAAAATACTGATATTCTGTCGGAATCGATTGGTTTTCAGTGCTCAAGGAGCATATAGCGCGAGATGAGGCATCAACTGAACAGCCCTGAAATTCTGTCGAAAATGTCGTACAAAATGTATCTGCGGCTATCGGTGCTTGTGTCATCGAATCGATGCACTTCTCTGTTGCGAAAGAGCACCCTTTCTTTCGACCAAAATGCATCACCTCCGACGTAGAGGCGTTGACTTGGTACCAACCGGAATCTGCGAAGAACGCGAGTGTGAGAGCACTGAAGACGTTGTGATAACTGTCCACAGGGGTCATAAACTCGGGCTCAAATAGTCGCTCTTCCCAATGAGACCCGATACATCCACCGTCTTGAGACTCGATCTCGGCACCTTCGAGCGTAGAGCAGTTGAAATGGTCTCGAACAAACGCGCGTACTCGTGGTGTCACCATTTTTGCCACTACATGATTTCTCTCAGTCGAATACTTGATTGTTGTGTTGGAAGGTTCCACGTAGTAGTCGATTTGCTTACCGTTTGGACAGGTTCCTACATTCAAGATAGGCGGATTTCCTATTTCATCTCGTGGTGTTCTCGGTGTTCCATCCTCCCCTCGCATTAGTGGAAAGAATCGTGACGAGAAGCCGAGAGCGTGTGAAAACTCATGAAGCGCTGTTGATACCTGGCGCTCGAAAACCGAATCCGAGGTGCTGAGCTTATTTGGACAGAAGTTAACCATCCCGAACGTAGGACGGTCGTACTGGTCGTGCTGACATGTCGACGCGTATGCTAAAGTGTTGCTGCTCTTACAAGTATCCGTGTCTTCAGCTCGAACGTAGACGAGGAAATCCGTTTTAGACACTCCCGTTCCGGCTGGGGTTATTGTACAAGAATCAACAGTGCAACCACTGGAAGTGCATTTGTCGCAGTACCTTATTGAAGCAAAGTGGTCATCCGGCATCGGCATTTCCAGACATAACTCGTTCTCAGCAATCGAATGACAGACTGGAGGGATAGTGGAAAATGTAGCGGTGCAAAAGCGCTCAGCAAATAGGTTGCCACTGACTGGCACCACTTGGAGAGCGCGACGGATACGTTGAATCGCCTCTCCAACGACTTCGAATACGACTGCACGGGTGGCATCCGGGAGGTTGCTGAGACTGGAATTATCGTAGTACGGCGTCATACGGATGGGTTGGAAAGCTGTCGATGTTAGTTTTCTGGTACCTGAGGCTGCATTGGTAATTGTGTCTTCTGATACATTGTTGTCACGTAGTCTTCGTTTGCGCAGGCGATCTATGAAGGGGTGGCTGTCGTGATAGTTTTGAGCTCCGACGATGAACCTGTGATCTAACGAATCGTGGATACAGCACTGGACTATTTGAATGCACCAAGCAGCAACGAATGCCAGATAAATAAACATCGCTGGAGGCGATGACATCGTTGATACACCCGTTGACCACTCGCCTGTTGCCAGTCTCGTACAGCTAACAGATTTCTTAGAAACGATATTTGACTTACTTGTTGCTCTCTTGCACAGTGCATATAGGCCATCACGATCAACTATCTTTGTGAACAAAATCGAAACAGCTAAAATTGGTTGTGAAATTCCTGGTACTTACTTAAATATGAACTTCACTCGACGGAATGCGGTAAATATAGCGCCAACTTGATCGATTTAGAACCCCGTTTCTAGCGTTGTTATTAGGCTGGTTTCCTTTATTAATACAGTTTGGTTCGTAGAAGTGATCCTCTCTACCTCGAAGTATCTAACCTTAACGATTGCAATCATCCCCTTTAAAGAATGATCACAAGCGCAAACCACGTTCCGCCCAGCACAATACATGAAGCCCATTGGTGCATGACTGCGCCGCTGGCAATCCTGCCTGTTGTAATGCTGGTGCTACCGGATTTCGAGGTGGATCCAGAATCGGTTCTGCTGTTGCTACTGTCAACGTTCGAAGCATCGTTCCCAGCGCCACTTGGTGCGCTGTCTTTGCTGTAGCTTTGAGAATTCTCTAATGAGTTCTTGCTACCTGCGTCCCTTGAAGCATTCGAAGTGGCTGGCGCGCTGCTAGCAGTAGTGTTATGCGAACCGCTTGAAGTATCAGGACTGGCGCCACTGATTGCTAGTAGTATACGGCTTGGGTCGTCGTATTCGCACACTACCTGAGGGTCTGGACACGTGATGTCACCGGAAAAACCAGATACTGCGAGCTTTTCCCCTTTTCGGGTGCAGTTAACAGCTACGGCGTCGTTTGTTTTACTTCTTGGAATGGTAAGCTCAACCACAGTGATAGGATTCTTGGTACTAGAGTCGATGCCAGCAATACATCGCATGGCATAGCAACCTGACTGTCGAGCTGGGTTGATACCCCATCCAGTTGAGTCAGCACTACGAAGAGAAGTAGCAGTGCACCTACAAGTAGGACAATACGTCTCTCCATAGGCATTGATACTAGTCGAGCCGAGCTTAAGTCGATTTGAGGAGATAGAGCAGTCTCCGGCCGTAAACCCCACATTCATCGGACAAAAATCTGCAAAAGCGTTTAGTCCACCTTTTGTTGGACTGCTCGGAAAGTACTGGTATTCCGATGGGATTGACTGGCTCGTGGAACTCAAAGAACAGGTTGAGCGCGATCGAGCGTCTGCCGAGCAACCCTGAGCCGTGTTTGAGGTGCAAAAGTGTTCAGCTATCGGACTCTGTGTTGCTGGATCCACGCACTTCTCTGTTGCGAAAGAGCACCCTTTCTTTCGACCAAAATGCATCACCTCCGACGTAGAGGCGTTGACTTGGTACCAACCGGAATCTGCGA